TGGTCATTTGTTCAACGCAAGAAGAAATCGACAGATGTTTCGAGTTGTTGAACACGCAGTCAGAGTCTATTAAATTCACCCGAGAGAAACCAAAAGAAGACTGGCTTCCATTTCTGAACGTGCAAATTGGCCTATTAGAAAACGGCTACATTACGAAGTGGTATCGAAAGCCAAGTAGTATAAACATCCTAGTTTACCTCTCCTCTCATCCCTCTCACACGAAAAGGGCGCTTGTGAGAAACATGTATCGAACAGCTACCAGCGTGTGCACAAGGAGACAACAGAGAGAGGAGTCCCGGAACTTGGAGCGGCAAATAGCCATTTTTAATGGCTACGAAACCGTAGCTCCAGATAGGTGTAGAGGAAACCACAGGTACCCCAACGGTAACTCTAGCGACAACAAGGTCCCGTTTATACTGCCCTTTATTTCAAATGAAGTAAGTGCAGCTATAAAACGCTGTTTAAGAAGGGCCAGTCTAGAAAATTCGGTAACGATAATCGAAATACCACCGAATAATCTAAGGCGCCAGCTAGTTCGTAACCGCCTATACGACCGTCTATGTGCAACGCAAAATTGCATAAATTGCCCCAATGGTAGAGACGGTGACTGCATGAGTTCGGGTACAGTCTATCTGATCTCTTGTAAAGCGTGCGGGGACGAATGCGTTGGCGAAACGGGTAGACCACTCTGCGTACGTATAAAAGAACACCTAGTCGGCAAACGTAAGCTAAGTACTCCACTAGATACGATAGAACGCAGAAACATAACGGAGAAGACTTTGAAGTAAGGGTTACGATTCTCGCGCAGGAATCGAGAACACAAGCGCGCAAAACTCTAGAGTTCTGGATTAATTCCAAGAAACCGAAAATGAACCGCAGGGAGGAATGCCTTGTTATCACGCGTGTTATTGGGCAGTATACAAACCTGTTATTCTGATGGGAGGGGCACATTACGCTTCCATGTGAATTCTGTGCGGTCGGTCTTCACCCGATATACTCAGTGGAAGACTCATAGAAAGCGGTGAGTGTGCAGAGCTACGCTAAATGTGATTGAAATCTTGGTTTGGAGTTTTCTCTGTTTAGTTATGGAGGTGTTTGGCCGAGTGGATTGCTGTCAACTTGACCCTTCCAGGCTCTGAGGAAGGCGAAATCCGCCGAAACGTCAGCTTGTGCGTAAATAAAGAAATAAAATAGCACCTCGTGCTTGCTGAACAGAAGTAGAAAGTTATATCAATAAGATCATCGCAAATGCGAGATTATTAGTTGACTGGAGTATTACAACGGCCAATCCCCTATGAATGAAATGGTGTTTGCCTTTGTACGTTGAATTAATCTCGAACCGGTATGTCAAATGCCGAGACCTGAAAGCGCCTAGAGAATATATGTCTGCAATTTGTAACTGCCGTTTCAACCGCTATAGGGCGCGTGTAGTGCGGTGATTAGAGGTGTCCTGCAGCAATCATGTGGTCGTTGGTTCGATGCCGTACCCTGGCCTTAGTAGCGTTTACACCCCTACGGAATCGGCAAATTACTGTCGGACATGTCTCGAAGGATAGCAGCACTGAATTGACTGATCGGCTGTCCACCTAAGTCACTCCATAGACTAAATATGCATTCAATCATCGCTCATGATGTTTATTGAAGTCGAGTGCATGGCGATGATCAACGCCAAGAGCTCTATCCTTTAGCGGTCGTCTGGCATGTTGCATTCCGCGGAGGCGCCATCCGTGGTCGGCGAATCGTCCGACGTGCACACGTGGGAGTGACGACGCGCTCGCCCGTCTTCGCCGCGCGACGCCGGCGAGCGACTGCTTTTCCGGCGAGGGCGGGAGCCACACATGTGCTCGTCGCAGGCGCGTCATTCGCGATGTCGTCGCATGCCGTCTGGATCAGCAACGGTCAGACGATCCTTTACGCCCCGTTCGTCTGCGATAGCGTTGGTCCTGAACACTTGTGGAATCCAGACATCGTCCATGGATTCTTCGCCCGACACTGGAGTTCGTCAATTTATTTGGCGCTAGGCTATGTGCTGTTGGTCAATGCCCTGCAGCGAGTTATGGAAACCAGGAAGCCTATGAGGTAGTCGTTGTTTAGCTCTCAATAAGTTTCATCATACAAACTAGTTTAACGTTCATTAGTTGCTTTTTAAACTAGGCAGAGTATAGATCGCTGTTAACCTCGTTCCTTTGATGGCTCAGGAGAGATTACATTCTGAAAAGATAAGATATCTTTGATATATAGGACTGACGTACTGTTCTTCCCATTAGAAAACGAGGATCTGCCTTATTTTATAAGTCATAAAAATAGCCAGCATGCTATCGAATTCAGTTGTGGGACCATTTTTTTGCTTCAAGAGTGCTTGTAGCTCCGTTTTCTTCTGTCTTCTTTCCCACTTTGAGAAAATTTCCGTTCTAACCTATAAGTTCCAGCATTCTGGAAGAACATCTTGAGTTTTGGTCTTCAAAAAGTAGCAATATTGATTATGTTAACGGATTTTTCTGTTATTTTCAGTATGAGGACATTACTCTTTCTGTGGAACGGCACCTTGGCAGTGTTCAGCTCCATGGGAACATGGCGATTTGGCCTCGAGGTCTACTACATGCTAATAACAAGGTACTGTCTCTTAGTTTTTCAGCTTCGATCGATGTACAGCTTTTTACTGAGTTCATGTTCATATTTTATCACCACGTCATCTCTCATTCTGTCCTAATTATATTCCGTTGTTTCTAACTGAAAATCTCTGTGTGTGGCTAGAAATATATTAGGACCAGTAATCACCCACTCTGCTGGCAGTTGACTTTCGTTTTCTTTCCTGTTCCATTAGTGGGGGTAGTGAATCCAGACGGTAGCAGTTGCTATCAGTTCACTGCTTCTACAGGAATATGTTAAAAACTGTAAGCATATTGAAGTGGGCTATCTGGGAAATGTTCTTCCTATTCTATTAGTGGTGACCGTACATCCAGATAGTGGCAGCTGTTATCAGTTCGCTGCTTATGGAAAATTCTAGGTATGCTGAAATCGATTATCTGGGAAGTGCTATTTTTAGTGCATTTTTTATTAAATTTTCTATATCTCCAGTTTGTTGGAGACATATTCTTCAGCAAGTATTTCGTAAAAATCGCTATTTTTCTGTCAAGGGAGCTGCTAAACATTACGAGATCTTAATGGAACAATTGTGACTTCTTAACAGATCCATTTCGTATTTTAGTTGACGTCGGTTATGAACTGAAAGAGTCGTTCGTATTCCTTTTAGGGAAATAGGATGCAAGCGGTCGCATGCTCGCATGAATCACTGGAAGTTCGAGATTTTCAGTGGCGAAATTTGATGGTTATGATTTACAGCCTGGGAGCTATTTTGTCATAAAAATGGAAATAACCATTGCGTTCTCCTACACGGGCAATCATACGTGTTTTAAAGCTTTTATTTGCACAAAAGACCATGGGCGCCGTATTTTCTTCTTCGTTTTTCTAGGGCTATAAATTAATGTCACATCTCTGTTCACATAAAAAGTCTTGAAGTTCAAAGTTTATGAAGTCTGGTAGATGTATCCAGTTCTCACATTCCAGTCTATTGTAGCGATTTAGACCAATGCTTCATTGCAGGCCATTCACGGATTCGGTTTGCTTCTCGGTGGATCCTCATAGTCCCGCTTCTTTCTGGGCGTGCTTGTTTGCATTCTCGAAAGTCGCCGAGCTCGGAGACACACTTTTCCTTGTGCTTCGGAAGCGCCCGGTGATCTTTCTTCACTGGTACCATCATGCCGTCGTCCTCATCTACTGCTGGCATTCGGGTGCGTTAAATTTTCTACGCATTTCATCACTGTATAGCAATACTAGTAGGCATACGACGGCTGTCTCAGTACTAGTCTTCTATACCATGTGGTGCATTGAGTCAGCGTGTGAAAATAGAATGTCATTAGCGTTCGTGGATTCCTGTTCAGTAATGGGACCGTTTGCGATGAAGACTTACTTTTGATTTTTAGCTAATGTTTCCATATCTTGTAATTCTTAGAATGCATTAACACTTTAGTTCTCTTCCCTTTAATACTTTCACATTCGGAAAACTTATGAGAACGAAGATCATTTTCGTAGGTTGCTAGGGGGTTATATATGTGTATATCAAGTGACAGGTATTGTTTCTCACTATAAATGAAAAACTACTATGTCTGGAATGCATGAGACTGGTAGGCTAAGTTCATATGACCTTTCATGTGGTCACCTATGCATAGATGGCCGAGATACTTTAGCATTTTAGGTTTAGACGAACAAATCTTAATGATCATCAGGTTTGTTGATTGCAATGAGATCAGAGGCTTCATGTTGTAGCTGAAATGGCGCAAGTTCACTTTACACAGTGAAATTATCTTTTTTTTGAGTTTCGGAATCCATAAATTAGGTCCGGCCTATTGTCGTGGATGTCTGTATTTCCATGGCCAAAGCAATTCAAAAAGTGGAATTTGTCTGGAAACCGCTATCGATGTGGCCACTTGCCGTGCTTCCAACAAAGAGTTCCTGAATTTTTTATTACACTAAATATTTATTTTTAGTCAAGGAAATAAATCGTTTATCATGACTAGTGGACCTACATGCGCTAATAGAACGCCAGCACAAAGTCTCTTCTACAAGTTTATCACTCTCTTAGATCTTCGTATGCTCCAATTATGAAAAAATCATTGGCTGTAGAGGAAATATGGGCAGTCTTTTCTTATAAACCGTAATTTCTTTTGTTCTCATCATCAGTTTCGTTTTCTATGCACTTGCAGTAAATCTATTGGTGTTGCAGTTAATGCAGTATTGTTAGGATTACACTGCTCAATTATGTTCGGATACCGACAGGTTTCGAACAACCAGTTGATTCACCACTACTTTTTTACGTAGAGTTGACATTTGTACTCATTAATAGCGTTCAGTTGTGTTTTTTATTTGTTTATTCTTCTAGTCGTTGTAATAGTCTACTCATTGAAGTGGTTCTCTTCGTTCGCAGCCGCCTCTTTTTATCTTTGTATTTCGCAATTCAAGTAACCTTTGACATCGTACTTAATCCTCATACTGTCTCACACTGGTCTGCTTGGTAGATTAGAGATTGATGTGATGTTAAAGAAGTATAAGGCGTATGAAAGCTAAACTGGAGTCGTAGTTCCTCTTTGGCATTTGAATCTTTGTGTATTTCATATACAAATCAGTGGTAGTGCCCTAAGTTAGCTGTTCTTTTAACTTTAGAATGGATTTAGCACTATGAGTAGTAGTTTTAGTAGAAGCCAGAATCCAGAAACGAGTGAAGAATTGAGTGAGAACCAGTGTACTTTTATATATGTGAAGTGGATCTTTATGATGATGCTGAGATATTTGAAAAACTCCTGACCGCTGTTGTCTGGTGAAAGGGTAATAGCGTGTTCGATCTTCATGGCAGACACCAGCAGTCCGGAGTTTTGCAAATATTTCAGCATCATTATAGTTGTATCCCACCTAATACACTGCCATTAAAAAGAAGTAAGCAGTAAATAAAAAGTGATGACATTGATTCTGTCTTTTTCTCGCATTACTCATGAATACTTTAACTTGAAACTAGTAGGTGGGTTTTACTGTACTGAAAGTGAATTCATCGCAATGCTCTTAGGCCACATGATTAATTGACGATTGCCTTTCTGGGAATCGTGGTGCGTGAATATTTACATTGTCAGTCAGAATGGCTGACAGTCAAACACCGGAGGCCCTTTGCTTCTCTTAACAGCTGTCAATTGCTTCAGAATTTATGGTGCCTGCTATTCAAATTCCTAAATTGCGTGAATATTGACATTTGTTCTGGGCTCTCAACAGTTGTGGGAGTGATTTGTGGTATAAAAAGTGATGAACATGCAAACGAATAACTTACTTTCGTCCGGTGTAAGTTCTAATTCCTAAGTAAAATCCAATTTCATCTCGTTTGAAATCTTTACGGTTAATAATCAGCCACCTCATTTTTTCAGGCCGGCTTTATTAACGGTGTGGAACCACTTTTAAATTGCCAAGTTCTTTAACACACCCGATCTTACTTCCCTGTTCAATCTGTTGCTAGTCGGAATCGTGAAGGATCAACGAAATGTCTGTATTTGCAGCGATATAACTGGAGCACACATTCCTGGTTCGCCATGTCGCAACTGATCTTCACCGGTTATTTCGGAAGTTTTTCTGATAAGTTGCAGCGTTATTATTGAATTATCTCCTGATTTCTAATAAGGCTACTTGAGTAGAGGCACACAGGATTGGTTCACAGATGTAAAACTTTGCTCAGGGTCTCACTTAGTAATAGCTACTATGTTTATGTTCATTATTATTCAAGCCTATTCACTGGAGTCACCTCTTAAATTGTTTACTTAGGCGGGGGATTCGCGATTCTTCAAATATTATGGGATGGCCAAATGTGTTCGATGTGATGTTGTGTTTAGCAATAGAGGTGACATCGAAACGCATTGTGAAGAAAAAAAAAACAGAAAAACGAACCAAAATTGGATTCGTTGAATAGGATGATCATCTTAGAATTGGAATAGTTTCGAGAAGGCGGTGGCTTATTTGTTTCCCCAGTTGGAGTCGAGCTTTTGTACTATTGAGATCCGTTTGCTTGTATGGATTAGGTGATATGTTCTCATTTAATGCCGTGAATTCTTTCATTGTCTTTTTTTTCGTTTTTGTTCAACACTAATTTCATACACATATTTAACTCATAACCATGGCGTTTTATGGGTAAAATTCAAATGTCCTTTAGTCGAGGTCTATAACATGTTTTCTCATCGTCTGGCAAGGTTACCAGTGCTCAGAAGAATTTTGACATTTTAATCAGGGAACTTAGCTTTAAGATAATGCTGGGATTCCTCAATGTCCTGAAGAAGTTCTTCACAAGCAATTTTCATTTAATGCGTAGGAAATACGATTGGCTGTGGTGGTGACGACGTCACTGATACGGGAAGAAAACGTGAAAACGGTTTTCCAACGTGGGTGGTGTTCACGGGATTCATCGAAGTATCTAAGTAGAAGTTTATATTTAGTCGCACATGTTAATGTTACACCTTCTCTGTTTTTTGTTTATGGAACATTTTGCTGAGTAAAGAAATTTGACAAATTTGGATAACTCGCTAACTTCCTCGTTAAACTTCGCATGTTGTAAATTGTTTGTTATCTGTGAGAATAGGAGTAGTGCAGTGGTTACTGGTGCAGTCCATCATGAAGCAAATTTCTCGTGCGACTGTTTCTCCAAACCTCTTCTCCAATCCACGCGTGAGCGTCTTCGTCCGGGTATCTCAAAAATTGCAAGGAGAATCGATTCGATCAGCATTCTACGATATCCATGAAGAAGGTAAAATCCTCAAGCGGCGCCCCTAATTTCTGGTAGCATTACTAATTGAGTTTACAGGAATACGAGCTTGTAAAAATAAAACTGGGGAAGTCACTAAAATATAGGCAAGAAACACGGTCTTTCTTGTGAGTATTAGTTGTCAAAATTTAATATAACTGCTGTCCTATTTGATTTATAGGGGCAGTAGTGTCGAATCATGCGGTTTCTTACTAATCAGTGCTACTGATAAATTCTTCCCATCTCTATATTGATTACACAAAAAGTGTGCAAAAATTCGATATTAACATAGTTATAAGTCCTGAATAGGAGAGGAATTATGAGAAGTAGATAACCACACATTTAAAATGTTTAGGAAATTTAGACTAGTCAAATCTAATCATCTATAACGGCGTTCTAAAGGGATGACGTGGTGTGCATGATATTGCCAGTCACACCATTTCATGCCTTAGTAGTTTATGCAGTGTTCTTGATTGCTAAAAATACTTGAAGTTCATCAAGGAACAATACGTACGTATGGGCAGACATATTCTCTGAGTTAACCATGTTTGTATACCGGTATAATGAGTTGGACTATGAGTGTAGTAGCGCCTGCATTTGGTAGCATAATATTTTATGACTGTGGAAACTCGTTAAGATGTAATTGTTCGAGCCGGTTATGCATTCTAAGTCAATTCTAACGATGCTCGATGAAGTCAAATGCATGGCGCACACTTCATAGATTGAGAGATTGATCAGCGCCAAAAGCTTTATCCTTTATATTTTACAATGCTTCATGTGGCTAAGCTGAACAATAAAGGAATCGTATAACTTCATTCCTCAGGATCTGTAAGAGTAAAATAAGTTTCTGGACCACTGTGACAGCATCACTTCTAATCTTGGGATTAGGTTGGGATTTTATAGGTAGTTGCGTTTTCTACAAGTGCCTATTTCTAGCTGTTGAGTTAACGGCCGCTGGACGTTGGTTCATTTGGATGAATTACTTCGTGCACTCGATTATGTATACATACTATACCGTAGTATCAACAGGCCTTCGACCGCCGAAGCGATTCTCAATGTGCGTTTATGTGAAGTTTTAGTTTACACCCCTTTATGGCGTGAAATTCTTGTTTTCTGCTTTTAACGTGTGCTTCACAGGGCTGTCACTGCTTTACAAACTACGCAAATGCTCGTAGGTGTAACGATTTCGGTTTATGTGTTATACCTGAAGCTCACTGGCATGGTAAGTCGGTTTATCTGATGTTGAAACTCCCTATTGCTAACTATTTCGTTGAATAATTCCACTACTATATCAGCTGTCATCAATATTACTGTTACTTCTCGAACTGTAGTAAATTTGATCTTATTGATTATTTCGGTTAGTACTATGTTTAAATCCACAAACCTTAGACACATAGGGAATTTCGAGCGGATCATTCGCAAGACTAAGCAGTGCGTTCAGAAATTGCAGGTAGTCTGTTAAAACTTAGAGAAAGACGAGTTAATTTCCACTTACCGAGTGTGAATGTGACGACTATTTTCAAGTTTAGATCAACACATCTCGGCTCAAAATGAACTTTATTAATTGCAATAAGAACTATTAGAGTTTACAAAACTTTGCCTAGAGAATAGAAGCTCTTTTGTTTTATTACGATGAATTTCTATTTTCTCCGGCCTGTTAGACGTTTGTGTGCCTTATTCTGTTGGGGCTTGTATATCGGAAATGAAAGCAATTGAACAAATAACTTATCGTCCACTAGAAAACAGTGATGTTTCCATACTCGGATGTTCGGATGGGCCGTCTTTACTGGTTGTACGGGTCCCAGCATAATTTCTATTTTATAGGAGTATTGCTGGTTTAGCCATTTCGGTACCCTGGAGTACCGAGATCAGCCTATTCAAAGTCTGCCCCAGGTCGTCACCACTACAAGCAGTCGCTGCCTTTGTGGATCAGAGGGAGGTTCTTGCCATCATGCGACTAGTTTGATACCAGGACGGCGGTGGATCCTGGATTTGTTTACTCTTACCTGTGCTTCTTGACGAAAACGCCGGACTCCTTTTCAGCATTGGAGACCCCCATGAGAAAAATATATTATTTTCTCACATTTACCATGACAGCGCAACAAGCTGTTCATGGCTGTAACTGAACCCACGGGAGCCTATCTGTGGGTGCGAAGAAGTTACCATAAGGAAATTATGATGTTCGTGTGTGTCCAGCGAATGCGCAAAAAGGACGATAGGATGGCTCAGTCATCTCCACTTGAGTCACTCATCGTTAATGCATTTAAGTGTGGTGCAGGTGACGCGTAATTTCGATTTTTCGGAGATTTGGTGGCTAAGCCATTGTGGTTCCCTGGAATCCCGAGGTCAGCCTGGCCAAAGTCTGCCCCATATAATTTATAACATTCTTAATCAATATCCGAACAGTTAACGAAAGCTATTTCAGGTATGCCAGCAGTCTTTTGACAATCTAGCCATTTGCTTTGCTATATATGCCTCTTTCTTGATCCTATTTTCCAAGTTCTTTAACATGGCATACCTTGTAAAAAACGATAAGGTAAAGCCAACGATGAAAACAGACTAAGCTTGACTGTTATGTGAATATGACTTGTGTTAAGTATGAATCGTTTTCTTTGTGATCTTTAATGTCACTTTAAATATTACCTGCCTTTGAGGTAGTGTTATCATCGTATTTGTTAAGCCTTAAGAAAATATGGTTATGTGTTATCAATGTTGTTGTTGATGTTTATTATTCATTTTTTCGCAATATGTATATATTGATGATAATGAAGCTTGTTTTTCCTCCAAAAGTCAATCGATATTGGAGAAGCACATTCAATTACACCTCTGCACTATTATATATATACCGTATCTGTTAACGAATAGAGGTTTACTATCCAGAACCATTTCAGTAATTTCAATGATGCTGACATATTTGCAAAACCGCAGGTGTCCATGGTGGTGAACGAACGCGCTAATGTCCTTTCCGAGGAGTAACGCGTTCACCACCACACCATGCGGGCATTTCGTTTCGCCTGTCTCTCACCTAGTTTTATCGATTTCTGCCATCAGCAATCACCGATCAATCATTCAGCGGGATTGATCTGGTGAGCCCAAATCGGCAGTCAACCCAGTTAAGCTGAGGCTTTAGTTATAATCACAATCTCAACCGTTTTATCTACTGCCTATTCTTTTTCTAATGGCAGGGTATGTTGGGAAATATAACTTCTATAATGTTGAGATATTTTCAAAACTCCGGATCGCAGGTGCCTGATGGCAGGGAGCGTGATTGCTGATGGCAGAGATCAGTAGAAATAGCTGAGCAACCGCTATGCTGTTATACAGCTTTCGTTTACTTCCATAGAAAAACGTAAAACAATACAACACTAGCTGACGTTTCGGCAGAATCGCCTTCTTCAGAGCCTGGAAGGACATACTGGTATACAATTTACTAGGCCAAACGCTTCAATAACACTTACAAAAAGAGAAACTCTACGGCCATTACATGATCGACAGCTCCTCGAAACACACCTCTTTTTCTGTGGCTTCCAATGAGGAAGGTTAGAACAGCTGATTACAGTGGCATATGCTTGATGACTACACCACCGCGCACCAGAAATTGATCCGAAGATACGGGACGAAGTCGCATGTGACCTCTGGTCATTCCCTCCTTGCTATTCATTGCAGGGTTTTTGGCTTTTGGCATTTATCCAAAACGCCTCAAGAAGTTTTCGCTCTGATGTTCTAGTCTCCTACTTCAAAATCGCCTCCGCTATGTTTTTGTATGCTATGCGTGCCTACTGGGGTACTTTGTCTTAGTTTTCATTTGCAATCTAGGTGCCCTTTTATAAGGATACACAAAGGTTTGCCCGTTTCGCCAATATATTCATCTCCGCAATTATTGCAAGAGATCAGGTATATCGTACCTGAACTCAAGCAATCACCGTCCCTGCCGTAAGGGCAAATTACGCAATTTGTTGTTTCACACAGACGGTCATACAGGCGGTTGCGAACTAATTGGCGACGTAGAGTAGTCGGTGGTATTTCAACTATCGCTACCGATTCCTCTAGACCTGCCTTTCTTAAGCATCGTTTTATAGCTGCGCTTACTTCATCGCTAATAAAGGGCAACATAAACGGGACTTTTTTTGGCCAAGTGTTTCGCGTGGGCGCGTCGTTCTCCTTGTAAATTTATCTCGTGGGGTTACTATTTCGTAGCCATTGGAGATAGCTACTTGCCGAGTCAAGTCGCGCCATTTTTCCTTTAGTTCTCTGGTTGTGCACGCAGAGGTGGCTGTTCGAACATGTTTCTCACAAGCGCCCTTTTTGTATGTGAAGGGCGGGAAGAGAGAATATGAATCAATATGTTTTTCTTATTGGTTTTCGGTACCACTTTGTCATGTAACGCTACTTGACAAGTTGTTTTGAGCGTTAAGAAGTGGAAGCCGGCTCTATTCAGGTTTCTCTCGGGTGTATTTCCCTCGAGAAGCTGTTGATCATGCAGTTGCCATAGAGTTTTTCGTCTTTTTATAAGTGTTACTGAAGCGTTTGGCTTAGTAAATTATATATCAGAATACCCCTCCAGGCTCTGAAGAAGGTGATACTGCCGAAACGTCAGCTACTGTTGTATTGTATCGTGTTTCTCTATGGAAGTAAATGTATGCTATGTAACAGCCTCGCGATTTTTGAACAAGAAAATGACTGCTGTATGTCTTCAGATTAAAAAAAGGTGTTTTTCCCCTTGTGTTCCACAGTATTCGTGCTGTCAAATTGCGTAAAAACAAAATGCGTACAACTCGAATACTCCGTCCTCACCACGTGGGGTGCCAGGATATTTTCTCATTCCTTTCGTTTTTCATTCAAGGCGACATTCCAGGCTCCATAAAGAAATAATAGGGGATATTGATTCTTCTGTGGAAAATGTTTACAACTGCAGTTTCTGTATCTTAGCTTAATAGATGCTCAACCCTGCTTCACACATCTGTATCACCTCTCGTCCCATGTATCCTAGTGGGTTTTGCTCGTTCTAGGAACTCGTTGAGCATCATAACTTTCTCATAGGATTTTTCTGAAGTACTCTGACCATCGGTTCGATAGTCTCCGCAGCACATATCCCGAGTGATCCAGTCATAAACGGTTCTTGTCCTTTCGTTGACGTTCATACGTATTACATGTCCGGCTCACCTTCGACAGTTTGACGTATACAACGGTGCCTTTAATATTTGATCATTGGCGTCGCGATACGAGAGACCCTTAACACGGTCCTTTCGACTGTGCATTCAATAACGTTGACTGATCTCTCATCGTACTTGCGTAGCAACCTCTTGGCCTTAAAATCACCAATGATGACCTCAAAGAATGTCTTCTCTGTAGAACTTCCCCAAGTCCATATACAATGCTTCGACTTTATTTTCGTCAAAGCTTGACTTAGGTGCGTAGACGACGAAGATTGTGAAAGCCGCTATTGATCTACATCTCTTCAATCGTAATCGTCCGATTCCTGTTGTTAGTTATACGAATGAATCAATGTTCATAGCCAAGCTCGTGTTGCCGAGTGCGCCGTATGCCACTGACTCCTCTACTGTCGCATGTTCCGAGGAGCAATTCTTCATCGGTGTTATGGAAGGCGACATATGGATTGCGTCTTCTCATTTTAGCGAGACCGATAATATCGTATCTTATTTTACTTGCTTTTCTTGCCATGATCAAATGTTCCAGTCGTCATCTTTATCCTTTGCGATTTAGACAGCCTAGAATCGCTTTCGGATTTTAGCAACCTGTCCGTACTCGTCCTACTCAACGCTGTCACACAGGTGTTTTTCGGAGTATGGGGAATGAGACCCACTTATTTTACTGTTCTTAGCGTTTGGTACCCAAGTATAGCTTGCTGAGCTGTGAACGTGGGGAGTGGGTAACGCACGGATAGCTTCCGGCCTCTCCCAGAGCAAATGGGAAAGTTCCCTGTTAGAGGCGACTCCCATCCGTATATGTACTTCCCAGCCACTTAATTGCAGACTTTTAGTCGAATTGAGTCGTCTAATAGAATCCACATAAACACCATACATGAGTACGTCCTCACAAACACAGAACGTATGTGCCAGATCGGCGTGCCAGAGAAAGGAAGTCCATTCGCTGGATCGACATGCTTCTTCCGAAAGCATAAGATCGGCTTGGGTCCGCGATCAACTCCCTATCCCTACCTGCGGACGTGCCACTGCCACGCTGCCTCGTGACAAACCGACAACAGATATGTGTATATCCATGGATCTCCCTCACATAAGAGATCTCAAGCCGGTTAGTCGCAAGGCTACGTGGCGCGTCCCCAGGTCGCGGATAGAGGGTTAATCGCGGACCAAAAGCGACATTTACTTTCTTGAGACACAGATGGATCCAAGGTATGAACTCGCTGTTTCAACAGCGCCGATTTAGCACATACTTTCCGTCTTTGCTAGGAGTGTTCATGTATGCGTGTGTGCGTGCGTTCTCGCTTATGCGGATTGTACTCTACGAGTCAAATCGGCCAAAAGGCTGCAATCAAGTAACAGGGAAGTGTATGTGAGGCGGTTAGGAGTCGCCTCCAACAAATAAGCTTCATGTCCACTCTGAGAGAGCCTGGCAAGCTACCCGTGAGTATACCCAGCCGCCACGTTCAGAGCCCAGCACGCTATACGTGGGTATCAAAAGCTAAAAGCACTAAAAAAAGATGGGCCTCATTTCCCTGACACCGAAAGAGCCTCTAATTTCGCAGCGCTGGACGAGCACAGAGAGGCTGCTAAAATCTCAAGGCCAATGGAATCTGCCTGGATCACGAAGAACTAAGCTAACGATCCATATCTACAATGCACGTACACTTGCATCTAAGTCCTCGATAGGAGACTTGCTCATGCAAGCAAGAAGGATAAGGTATGACGTCATCGGCCTGGCCGAGACGAGACGACGCCACCCATTCAACACCGTCGATGACACCGAAGAAGAACTGTTCCTCGGAATATGCGACAGTAGAAGAGTCGGCGACGTCGGTGTTCTCGTCAACATGAGTTTGTCCATGAACATCGATTCGTTCGAACAACTTACAACTCGAATCGGACGTTTACGATTAAGAAGACGTGCATCAATTCCGGCTTTGACAATCATCGTCGTTTACGCGCCGACATCGAACTATGACGAAAAAGAAGTCGAAGCGTTCTATATGGACTTGGAGAAGTTCTACAGAGATCATACATTCTTCAGGGTCATCATTGGAGATTTTACCGGCAAGATTGGACCAAGGAGAACGCCTGAAGAACGTCACATTAAAACCGACGAATTAGAATGAAGCGAACAGAGTGAGCGGCTGCCTGAGTTTATCATGGCGACCAAGACAATCTATGGTAATTCGCAATTCCAGAAGCCCCAGCTGGACGTGGGAGTCTCCCAATGGAGAGTACCATAACGAAATAGACTATATCATAGGAAATAGGAGGTTTTGCCTAGACGATGTCGATGCTGTCTCAAAATTCTACACGGGATCAGAACATCGTCTCCTTCGTGTAAGATTCTATTTCTCGCGGAAGGGAGAAAAAGCCGCTAAATTCCAAAACCCAA